ACCCCGTATGTTCGATATTCTACATTGGATGAATCGCGGAATTTTTCCCTAATGGTAATCGCCTCATCGTTCTCACGCGTCGAATCGAGTCGGAAACTTGCTGAGAATAGGACTCATAACACGCGTCGCCTCAAGAGCCCTCGCACTCAAGATTACACTTTTCCAGTCCATGAAACCGCGACACACCCGGATCTTCAACGCCTCCCACTGATCCATGAAGTGGATAGCGGGTCTAGAACTCGTAAACTCTCGTTTGAGCATAGACACCATCGCTCCAATTCTCTGGATTCCCCGGTGTTCTCGATGCACGCTGCTGACAACCTGACGTGGCTACTCAGATCAGCTGAAAAAAAACATTCTTCCGATGAATGGCAATCGATCGTTCGAAAGACGCAGGGAAACTCTTATGATTTTTCGATTTGCGTGCTCGGCTCTCTCCAACATCTTGCCCTACGAGGATCGAAGATCGAAACCCGTTCTCAGCTACGTAGGTATCACTCCGTGACAGCCAAGCTCATTCATACCTTCATACATATTACAATTGTATAACATTCACTTCGGCCGAGTTGAGTTGAGTACAATGAGAGGCTTGCCGTTAGCCCCGATGACTCGCATACGCGCCGAGGGATAGCTCATCACGTTTGGACATCAATAATAGGAATTATACGCGTGATTTAATCGGTATAATTATCCGGAATATGTAGTCTCACACGGCGAAGACATAACCCCTAGTTTCTAGTGACCGGGAGAGTTCGATGTTCCCCTGGCATTACCGAGGATCATAGCAGCTTCATTACAGCTCCGTCTATCTTGCTCCGCGAGGCACGGATAGCGGATGTTGTCGATATAGGAACACCTCGATCATCTCGGTCGACGCGATGGTAGGAAGTTGTTCACTGACCTTGCTTTCTGACTCCGGAACTCGAAGTTCAACAGGATGCCTGAGCTCAGCTCTGTATGTCCCGGGTCACTGCCCATTTTCAGTGAATACAGCTAGTGACTAGAATTCTGGGCATGGAAATTCCACATGAAATAAAAGGAGCCTTGAGGCAAACTCGGAGGCTCCTGACAAACGTCATATCCGAGAGCAGTCATTCCTTGAGTGGAGGATCGCGTGCCTCTACATTATCGCAGATGATAATCCCTCCCTTGTACGGGATGCCTCTCAGTTTTGCTCAAGAGGTACAAGCGGTACGCCAGTGTTGGAGGATCAACGCCTGTATTACAAACGGTCTCGATTTCGTCGATCACCTGTCTCTCTCGGTCGGACTTGAGGAGCATGCAGGCGTTTCTCTGCCGATTGCTCCTCGTTGTGAGCGGTTGCCAGTATCTCGAATCCTAATCTCTATCGCAATAAATTGTTTTCTAATCCCCCTCGATCGCGCTCCGGAAAGATGGAAGCGATCAACGCAAAGTCTGGGCTCAACGTGTTCCTTTCGATGCTATTTAGCGCGTCTCAGAGTCGTGTCTCTATTCATCTCGAATCGCCACCGTGCACGCCGGGGCAGCTCTGATAGCGAAAAATGCTCTTCTCGTCTGACGAGAATGACAATTGCCTCGCAAATGGGCTTCGTCTTTGCTTGTATACTGCTTTTCCCACGGTTCCTTGTGCCGAATTCGCGGAGGCCGAAATATCGATCAGAAATCAGTCGTCAGATCCCTACGTTTTTCGGTGATACACCTTGCCGGTAATATTATTGAAGGACGCTGTCAGTGAAGGGAAATCAAAGAGGAATATAATTGTCTCAAGACATCTGAGTTGCTCAATCGGAAACATTCGAACGTTTCGGCCGTAATGTGGGAGACTTCGGAAAAGAGACGGAACATTCCCGATGTGATTAAGCTTTCCTCTGCGCTCACCATTGGAGAGGAAACCTGAAACAGTTTTCAGCGAAGCTCCTATTCATGAGTGAAGAGCCTGACCTAGGAAGGGTTCCGATGATCATTTTCATCAGAACTTACGACCAGAAAGATCTCGCGGAGTTTCTTTTCGGGAAGAGACTTCGCCGACGACCGAAGGGATTTCAATGCATAGGATAGCGGAGTTTCGATGGAGGATGGGGTCGCAAAGAGCTCTCCGTCCTCGCGGTCATCTGGACAACGGCCCAGGAAGAAAATCTCAGACCACTCCTGTTCACGGTCTTGCTGAGCGACCTCGCTCGAGAGAATGAGGATGAGTGGGATATCGTGCCCTGCATCCTCGATGCGGGCGATACTGACCTTCGTTCTTTATCGAAACCACAGCTTCAGAGGGCCATGGAGGGCCTCGACCGATAGGCAAGGACCAACGGCTCACGATGAGCGTGACGACGAATGATGAACTTTCGGAGACGCAGACCCAGAGCCATTGGGGGCATCTTTAGAATATCAGAAACAATACTGGAGAAAATGTCCTCTATTTCCCATTGAATTCACATTCATCCGCCGAGAAGAGACTAGGGTCCCTCGAAAGACGTCGAACCGAGAACAACGGGAGGAAGAATGGCCGTCTCTACCATACCAGGACCCAACGAGCTCTCCCCGTGAACCCTTCTCGATCGCAAGACAGCTATAGGCGTCGAAGAACGGACATGGGGAATATCTCGGGCTCCCTAATAGGATCCTCTGATAGGCTTCTTATCTCGAACTGACCTCAACCTTACACAGCTCGACCCGCAATCGGGTAGTTTCCCCGCTGGCGAAGACAGAGAGCCTTCATGGGGATTTTCGATAGACTAGCACTCCCGCTAAGACCGCTCCATACAACGATTACCTATCGGAGCGGAAAACGCAGCTCACTGAGATGATCCAGCCTCTTTCGAGCGACGCAAGAGAGGTGGAAGGGCGCGAGCTGCCGATACTGGCGTAGACTGACAGAACGAGCCTTTCGCAGATTCCAGCTGACTCGTTTACACGAATGAATTGATGCTGAGGACTTCGATTGGGGAAGTGCGATGCACAACAAGAAGCGCGTGAAGCCTCTAGATTGTGATATGTATTCATATGTGGGTACGTCGAGAATATCGGAGCAGGAACTCACACCCGAAGTTGTTGACGAATGAACGCCATCTCCATATACATATGGCAAATTTTGACCATCGGAAAATTCACGCCTGGTTTTCTGTAAGTCCGCTGAAAGATACGTGGGGAAATACTCCTGAAATACGAGAGTAGCCCTTCGCCGCGATCTGTGCTCTGTCATCTCATGAGGACTGAATGACTCGGGTCGTCGGAATTTCGTATGCGTACGTAAAGGTGGAGGACCACGAGGCGAAGCCAACAGCCCAAGGATTTATTCCTCTCTATCCGGGACATTCTATTGGAGCATGTATCATATCGTATGTATCTGTATGTATTGTACTTGGAGGTGTACTACAGCCAATGCTCACGTAATGAGGACATCCCGATTTTTCAATATCCTCATGGGGTTCTCACGAACCATTCTTCCCTTGGACCCCCAATTCATCCTCCCGAGAGCGTTCCCCCATCTTCCCTTGCCTCTCTTTCTGTCAGTAAGAGATGATGAGCAGGGAGAAATAATGTGGTGCCGCTTCCTCAATGATTCGCTCCTGCTCTGGCGATTCATCGTCCACCAGCTCACCTAGACCATAAGCCTTCGATATCTCCCATTCTATCGGACCCGTCAAACCACCAACCCTGGCGGCTTTTTCATCGTCGTCCTTCTTCAGATAGAAGCATTCGAAGCTCCCCTCATCTCCTGCTTTCTTGAGGCTCACTCGAAGTTTGACGCCATTCTCGACGCTCTCCGCTCATTTGACGATCATAGTCGGCTCTCCGAGCGACACATAACCGGCAGAGGAGCTCAATTCGGGATCTTCTTCCGGGGGTAATCCGACGTTCAGAGACAGACCTGCCGGTCTGAGATTCAGAGCAACGTTTCGTCGAAGATACTGGCCATGGTTCGCGAGTCGGGAGCACAGTTGAGTATCCACGCACAAAAAACGATATCGAATGGGCCGTGCGGATACACTTGGGGCTTGAAGGCGTTGCCCAGCATCGAATGAGCATTCGGAGCTCGCCGTCCTTGCGATTCAGCGTAAGAGCGAGACGCCTCAAGCATTCCCGTAGAGATGTCGACCGCAACGACACAGTCAGCGCCCCATTCGACGAGGTCGTAGGTATAGAATCCGGAACCGCATGCGAGCTCGAGTACTTTGGCTCCTCTGATGCGAGATCCCGAAATCCGCTTCACCTCTTCCCGTTCGAGGAGGTGCTTGTCTGACTGACGACGCCTCGTGGAGAGCTCCCCGATATCGTTGTATTGCAGGGACATGACGTCTCGGCGGGCCGCTCAAAGGCGTTCGCACAGATCATCGGTGAGACGACGGAAGGAAATCATGCATGGAAGAATGGAGAGGATGGACAGCGAGTTTAATCACAATCATTCCGACTCTCCCCTCGTTTCGACGACTTACATACGACAAGCGCCAATCTATGATCGACGTCAGTAAAATTGGACCCTAAAGTCTCCACGTGCGAAGATCGGTGACTCAGGCCGTTCGACGCAACCCGCAGCTTCAGGACTTGTCGGAGATGTATTGTCGAGCCTCTTGAAAAGCGGGGCCGTCGGTGATGAATGATGAATTATTGCTCTTGAGAGTCCAGCATTCTCGGAGCTCCGTCGCAGTACTTCGCGTTCCCGGGCAGATTTTTTTCACAGAACCTTCGTTCGTTCGGTCGCCGAAGTGCGGAATGGCGCTGCCTGGAAGCCGCGTCTGAGGCAGGTGCCCCCGAATCAATTATGATTTTATGGTCTCGATGCGGTTTCGCAGGATTCTCCGGAATTTCGAACCATATAGAAGATCTCGATCAGACGCTCATTCTCCATACGGGAATCTCCCTCCTGCCCCTCACAGACTTCCTATCGAGCAGCGTCGGGATCGACATCTGCATCTCTCCGTGTCACGCGGAGCGAAAGAATCCCAGGGAGATATCCAGTGCCAGGCTCCCTAATCTAGCTCCGCGGCGATAAGCGGTTTCCAGTCCATTGAGCTGAGGTCGGTCACCCTCCGAGTGGTAAACTCCTTCCCCGAGCAGTCGCATCCGCTCCTTGCCCGTAGATCAGCAGCGACCAAGCGGCAGGATCCACAGATTGTTGACACATACGACCGGTTCATCAAGTGAAGGTCGCGTCTAAAAGCCTGTGAACTGTCATTAACGAGTCAGAATCGCTACGTGGATATTGAGGAAGCCCGAAGTCGCAGGCGCGAACCAACCTCCCAGAATGCCGGTCGAAGTCAGTCAAAAGGAGCTCGACGAGTTTTTCCACTGCGCCCTCGACTTGGTCAAAGAGGCAGGACAGGTATGGACTCAATTCGTGCTGGTGATATGAATTGTGGCCGCAGGGATGCTAAATCGAGTGTTCGGAGTATTTCTGACATCGGTCGGGATTTGATTGACGAAGCTCTCATGTGGAGCCTTTCTCGCGCACGGCTGTGGTGCTTCGATTGGCATGTCTCTTGACGCGCGGTCGTCAATGGACATGACAGCTCAGCATTGGGGGAGAATCAGTTCGTTCGCGGATTGGACGAGTGGTAACGGAGCGGGAGAACGAGCGCGGTCGGATTCTTGTCTGCGCGAAGCACGTGCGTGAACACAGGAGCTGTCACGCAATTCGTTCGAACCGCGGAGATTGGCGCGGCGGCCCTGACTTCAAGTGCTCCGACTGCCTGCGGAGCGAATCGCGCGGAGCCATTTCACTTCTCGACCTGCCCGTCCGACGGATAGCTCCAAATCTTATGGGCATTTCTATCACGGCTGGAGGTCACCTATTAAGATAGGGCTTGCATTTTTACGGGCAGTTTTTTTTTCAAAATGGCAGCTCTCTCCGGTTGCAGTTTTCTCCTCGAATCCGGAAGTTAATATTATTGTGTTGGCAGTTTTCGTCCTATTTAGTTAGTATTCACTCAACCTAACCTCTCACTAGAAAGGCGATCGACAATCGAGCATTCGAGAGCCGGGCGATCGAGAAGACTTCGTTTGATCGGCCAGATCTTTGGAAATCTCCTTGAAAAGCGACCGCATCAATCATCGGAAACCGCCCGTTCGCCAGAAAAACTGCCGGTTGCAATTACTGCCAATTTTTGAAATCAGACTGCCAATTCAATAGATCAAACTGCCAGTTCGATTATTGGAACTGCTCAGAATAATACTCCCCTTAAGATGGTTGGGCTCCTCTATGGGGATTTATCATGGTTCCCCCATTTTGAGGGCGCGGCAATGTGGATCCATCGTTAAGATTCTTGCTCGTGATGCCTTGTGCTCGAATGGGTCACTATTTGCGGGAGATCTAAAAGAAGCAGGTCGATCCGAATGGCTCCGTAGGATTTCATGTCCTCACCCGCGGTAAAAACGGCTGAAGAGTAGGCTCCGGTTGTGACTCAAAATTTTCTCATCCGTTTTCAGATGGTCAGGAGTGCAATACAAGAAGATAAGCAGGTGGAGACTAAAGCGAGCTTCGCAGACTTGGTCACTGAAACTGACAAAGGCGTCGAGAAACTTCTGATCAGCAAGCTATCGGAAAAATTCCCCGGCCATTCGTAAGTATGCCATTCCGAGGAGAGCCACCCGCTAAGCATGCCGCTTCCAACTACCTAAGATCATCAGCGAATAATTTGTCTGGATATGATCCAAAAAAGTCCATGGAGAGCCTAAAGCTCTCGTCTCCCATGCGATTCTAGATTCATCGGCGAGGAATCGACCGCCGGGGGAACGAAAAACGATCTGACGGATAATCCGACGTGGATTATCGATCCTGTCGATGGCACGATGAATTTCGTCCACACGTAAGTATCACTTACTCACAACTATTCCGCTTGTCGTTACTTGCGAAGGTCCTGGGTTAATTTTTCTCGAGGCGTTCACGCTCGATGGATTCTGTCGAATGCTGCTCATCATTCAATCAGGTCTCTTTTTGCAGTTTCCCCATGGTGGCCGTTTCAGTGGCTCTCGCTATCAACAAAGAGATCGCACTAGGTTTCATTTACAACCCGGTGCTCGAGCTTTTGTATACCGCCCGCAAAGGTCGAGGAGCTTTCGTCAACGATGCCAAACTGAAAGTGAGATCTCTCGCATCCAGCGAAGAATGCTTGGAGAGTTCACGAATCTCCGTTGAGGGAAAACGCCGAGAGTCTCGGGCCGGTCGGGCTGTCGTAATCAAGAGAATGGCATGGAGAGAAGAATATCTGCCCTGATCTGGATCCGTTTTTTCAGGTATCAAGCTGCACGGATTTGGCGAAAGCAGTTGTGATGAGCGAAGCTGGATCTGGGAGGGACCAGGAGAGAATCGATTTAATCTTCCAAAATATGAAGGTGAGTATGGTACACTGTCCGTCCCCTGCCTGTTGTCTCCCGATACCCCGTCGCATCTCCGAAGGTCTCTTTAGCGACGTAACCAGGCGAACCAGCGCTGGGTCTCAACCCCTGGGGATGCCGCCCCTGATCAAGGTCTCCCTCGAACCTTGCCCAGAAAATCTCAATTTTTCATGGCGTCATCTCGGGAGATGACGCCCCCAGTCCATAAAACGGCGAGAACTCGAGGTAGTTGTATCCGTCGTTTCGAACCCGAGTGTCGAAAAGGAACCCTGGCGCCCCTGGAACCGGCGAGAGGAGTGGCGGCCGGTGCGATCCGCACCCCCTAGCTACGCAACTGGCTCATTAATGCTCTCCGCCACGGGATGACCGGGACGCTGGTATCCGGATCACTCATATCAAACTCCTCCACGGTTGATCGAGCAGGATCGTTTCGGCGCTTCGCCTCCTAATCGCTCAGACTCCGTACTTTCCGAGAAAATATTGTTTTTTTCGTCCCAGTTCCACATGGTCGAAGATGTCTCGGGTTTTAATCGTTCTCTCGGCTGATCACTCCGTCTTTCAGTGCCCGACCGTAGAATCGTATATTGAGAAATTTCTCGGAGTATGAAAGTCAACTGCGGCCAGACCACCTCCTGCGCCTGACTACGGCGAGGTTCCGACACTGGTGAGGTTTTGACGCCCGGCGTCCCATGCAGCCGGAAGCTCAACGTCCATTCTCGGCACGAGTCTCGAAACTCCGCGAGAGGCCCGTCGGGGAGATCACTCACCGTATTCTCGACGTTGAACTCGCTTACGGACTTGCTCGTGGCGCGAATTGCTCATGATAATTTCCTCGGCGCACCGGATCGAAGATCAAGATCGTTCTCGAATCCTGTCCGAAACTCGAACACGAATACAGAGTGCTCGATCGGACTCCGCGGCCCGCGGTTAAGAACATCCATTTCCCCGTCCATTTCTCGTCATCGCATGCTCTCGCGAATCGACTCGCGGGTCGATGTTACATGAGTGAGAGCAGTGCTGATGACACTTTTCTCCTTTAGCGGCTCAAATGGATCACCGAAGCCACCTTGCCGGTCGAGCAAGCATACGGCCATCAAAGTGACTCCGAAGGTCTCTTGTTCTGGTCCCATTATTCGACTTCTCGCGGTGGGAGCCGAAGGCGGGACACCTTTCTGGAACACCGCACTCCGGAACGAGAGTCGCTCTGAATTTTCGCGGATTGCGCTAAGCTCCATTTGATGTTGGAAGTAAAAGTTTCCAAGGTCTCCTTCTGCTCGAAGTATTAGAAGTCGGAGGAATACGATAGATCTCATACAAATCTGCTCTTTATCTTCGAATCGGCCGGTGCACGCTTCGGAGCTCGTACCGAGCACTGTTCCAGCCTGAGATTGGAATGTCAGAGAAGAAGCATCTGTTGCAATGATGGGGAGTCGAGTTCTGGCTCGTTCCACACGTCAGAAAACTCGGAGCAGGTTTTTATTTCGGTGTCGGCGCACCTTGAAGAGTTCCTCGAAGAATGGTGAAAGTCTCCCTCTAGATCGATGACGGGACGAGATTGAAGGCACGTTCATGGAGGAAAAAACACTGACTGCAAAGGAAACTCCTGCTTCCTCGAACACTTGACGTCAAACCTGAACATTATCGCGCTAAAAACATTCATCCTAATTGAATGCTCCGCTTCATGAGAAGCCGATTCGGAAAAATCAAGAAAGAGGTGAATCGCGAAAGCGGATGTGAGTCAACCGCGTCGTTTGAGTTTTGGGGAAATTCATTACTGGAACGAATGCGGATCGCTCCTGAATCGTCCTATTCACCGTGGGACGCTGACTGGAAAACGGAATCCATACAATGAATTAAACATGGGAAAAATCACTCGACGTCGGGAACAATCTGAAGATCGTGAGGTATCCCGTCTCGTCGGAACAGATCGTAATTCTACCTTTTGACACCGTCAAAGTGACTTGGGGATGAACGTTCAACTTGTACACCTTTGCCTCTACCCGCACTGCCGACCGACGGTGCGGAATCAGAAACTGCGGTGCACGTAAATCGAATCAGAACCCAATCTATGCCGACGGTATCAGAGGATGATAGGCGTCGCGGCGAAGTTGTTTCGGAGACAAAACTGTCTCCCCGTACTTTACTTTTATTACCCGTCTCATTTGAGGATGTCGTATTTTTCTTGCAATCAAGAGAAGCGGCGAATGAATTATGAGTGAAAATTTTCACCCGACCGGCTACCAGGACCGGTTCTTAGCTTCATTTTATTTTGCTCGTCTCCATTTTTCTTCCCTGCTCATCAAGCTGCGGCAGAATTTTCAAATTCAAATCGACTCTTTTCCGAATTTACGTGGCTCCATCCTCTGAATTGCCGGGACGGCGAGCAATAGTAGTTTTGAGATTTTATATTACTCTGACCGATTTGACCTCGGTGTCGATGATCCGATCAGCTTTAACCCATTATCGCGGAAGTTTCTCGAAGATTCGCGGGCGGCACTGCGAACTCATGAGACGGTGGAAGAACCCCTGAAATGCTTACTTGAAATTCTGGCTACGCGAACATCAGCCGGGGTCCGGTGCGATCAGTCTTACGCAGACCGTACGTCCCGGGTCGCAGGTTGAATCAAGAGAACTCACAATTGGAGTTCGGTCTTGCAGGGGATGCGCGCTTTTGTGGGATCCCCGAACGCCACTTTCGTATCATTCGCTTGTCTCCAGATAGAACCTTCGCCCCGGTGCGGGGTCGGGGACTACTGACTCGTGGGTTGCGGATGACTCACTTGCGGGTTGCCGAAGTCGAATGAGTCGGTGCGTAGAGATAGCTACATCCATCGTCTTCGAACGCTAATCACTAGTGTACGTATGAGCTCGCCGAGAGAATTGGGAAGTCCGCCAGAGAGTTTCTGCGTGAGTACTCTTCGAGCGGGGTGCTCAATGAGAGGTGAGGGGGGGCGGGGGCTCGTTGAAGCTCACGGACGCTCGATTGAGATCTGCGAAGGATGAGCTCCCCGAAGTTTTTTTCGTCAGCTGGTCGAATATTGCAAACGGGAGATTCGGGCACCCTCTGCCATCGCGTAAATCCTACGAATGACTAAGTTGTCTTAGTCACTCGTAGGATAACGTCTTCTTGAAATAATTCGAGTTCAGCCATGAGAGCTGTCATCCTGAAAGATTTTCCGTCATGACCCCCGTTGGGCGAGACGGGAGGGGAAAAGCGGTGGGGCCAAACACTCCGCTGTCCACATGATGTTGAACGCGCAAGTGTTGCATGTGACACTCGTTGGAATGGGATACAGAGAATCGTAGTGACTGCTAACCGAGGAATGTCGCTTGTCGTATTCGCCCAAATGCCAGAACGAATACCGTCCAAGAGAGCTTGGGATGGTAATTCTTGAATGAGGCTCCAGATACGGCTCACAGATCCAAGGTCCGACCAGGATTCATTCTAAGGAGGAATATTTCTCTTGTATATCATCTCTCGTGTGAACACCCGTATTTGAGCCGTGGGTGCGCATGGACATCCCAAGGACACAGCGTTCGGTTCTTGATTCTGTTAATGGAACTCAAAGGGCAATCGCGGAATGATCTTTTCTAGCCTCTCGGCTTGATTTTGGCACTTTGGTGCATCGATCGTGACCGGGGGACCTCTTATGATCTTCGACCATTTCGGTCGGATGTCAGTCGTCCCGCGGAAAGCGAGAATGAGGTCAGAGCATGGTAATCTCCCGACGATTCCCCACGCCAATCGCGGGTCGCATGGGGAATTCTCGCGGGGAGGCCGAGGGCCGACAATTGGGAACTTCTACTCCAAAAAAACCTCCCCTCCTCACGGTCAGAGCGGACTTCGACGTGCTGGGGGTGGTCTGGACTAATTTGTCGTCAATGTAGAGAGACCGTCCAGAAGGACCTCCATCAATCCCATATCCATTGGCTCCGATCGAGCACTGAGCCAAGCAAGTGACAGCGTTTCCGGATCGAGCGATGTGACCAGTTCCAAGTTTCGGTGTAAGACTTCTGATTCCCCGCGGCGGCCTTCCCTGCATCCCCCAGATAATGCGTTCGCTTGACCTGTAATATCTCATGGGGAACACTCGGTGTTTGCGTTCGCTCGTTTGTCTATCTAACGCGTAAGCGGATGCGCGTACAATTCACGCCGTAATGCGCTTGGCGGACGACGATTATCGTCATACTGCGACATACGGCAGCCTCGTATAGCGGGGAGGGGAGGGACAAGGCTTTTTTCGGTCTAGAAGCTTCTGTCGACAAGGACTCCCTGTCGGCGGTCTTGGGAATGCTCGGATGCGGCAATTGCGTACGCCTCGCTCGTTCTTCTGTGCCTGCCTACGAGTCCATGGATTACCGAGAACTTCAATAAAACCCCTGATCTGATTAAGAAGGGTGACCTGACAGAAAATGTCTGAATCACCGCGTTACATTCCGATTGAACAATACCTCGATTAGATTTCCTCATTCCTGTCGCTCGCCGTAATGTGACTGCTCCGTCAAAGATAACAGTGCGTTCTGGAACTGCTGGGAATCTGTTGACGAGAGACGTCGTTCTCGGGAAGTATTCGCAGACAACTACCGAAGGGCTGAAGGTTAGATGGTCGCTGATAATCACAACGAGTGCTACGGAGACAGTGAGGGCACGAAAGGCGGCCTCAAGCGTCTTGTTTGTTCTTTTGCATCTTCACGGTCCCGAGAATTTCGTCCATTCCCTAAATCCCCGGACGCGAGCGGGATAAACTACGGACAAGTTTCAAGGCTGTTCTTGTGAGGATTTTCGTTTTCATCCGCTCGCTCTGACGAAGAGTCAGATCGGTATGAAGAAGCGTCAATGGAGGCGACCGCGGAACGAGGAAGTTTTCCGCTCGGAGAACACGAGTCACGATACTATTTATATTTTCCCCATCCTCCGCCACTCCTTGATGAAAAATGAGACATTGTAAATTTTATTCATGCAGTCACCGCGAATCTTCTTCCCCGTCACAGTTCGTCGCGTAATCGTGCTCAATGATCGGTAAACAGCGCGGACCTCATGAGTTTATCGCGTTCCTGTCGATGTTGCTCCAGACGTGGAGTTCGGCTCATTGCCTCCGACGACTCTCCATCCGGAGCCGATAGCGCTGGTGGCAAGCCCGACCCGGAGTTAGATTATGTTGTTGTCGCTTTTCAAATTGTTCGTCTGACTCGTGATCGAGTTCCGCATTGGCAATGTTTTGTTCTGAACCAGAAAATCCGGGACGAGCTGGATAGACTTACGATCGGCCGTCCAGAATCGCTTAATTCAACACCGGAAAATCGGTTCGCGACGAGACGTTTCGACACAGACTACCACCACAGCGACGATGACGCTGCAACGGCGGTCGCCGTTGCTTTGCTGTCCGTCAGTTCGTCTGTCTGTGCCGATTCGTCTGACCGGCTAGAACTTTCCTATTCATGGGTTTTCTCCGCTTAGACCTGGCATCTTCCACACCTGATTCTCGTGGTCGCGTATGCCCGAACAGAACGATTTTTCCGGAGTGATTCCCCTAAAGCAGCCCCTCGAACAAACGAGATTTCCTGCGGATTTCCCCGTGACCAGGGTATCGGGGGAAACGGCAAAAACGAACGCCTCCCAGGACCCGCGGTGGAACTTTTGCAATTTGTTTTCCAACTCTCGCGCTCTCTTCCTCTCCAACCCCGATCATGCCAACGAATTCGTGATGGAACGCCAACGTCGGCCGAAAGCTCGCGTGGTTCCCGCTTCGATGACGACCGCTTAGATTCGTCGTCGGATTGAGGTCTTTCATAGCTGAGCCCGAAAGTATTTGAACGCAAAGGGGCTTCGATAGGACGTTGTATCGACCGAAACGTAATGCCACGTTTTTCTCTCCGTTCCTCCTGTTGCAGAATATCTTACCGCGGGCGCATGGCATTCGTTCGTTGGGCTCCGCCTGCATGAATATGGTCATGGTAGCCGGCGGAAACGCCGATGCCTACCAGGAATTCGGCATCCACTGCTGGGACATTGCAGCCGGGAAGATAATCGTGGAAGAAGCCGGCGGTTACGTCTGCGATATGAACGGTGAGTGAGTGCGCTCGCCATGCCAGAATGTTTTCTCGAACCGAGCGCATCTCTTACGAAACATGACTCAACCTTGTAACCTTCCCGTAGACGTCTGAGACAAAACAAAAAATACATGTCGAAGGGGATGATATCATGGGCATCATTGCAAAATCCGTATCTGTCTTCCCGACTCCGAGTCTCATCAACGAGGATCGGCGTCTCTCGTCAGCTCCCGCGGAGAAGGAGGAACCAACGTGTGATCCGGGTGTATCTTCGTGAAGAAATTATTCGCGATTCGGAAGAATTTCTGATCTTTGAGATCAGGATTCCTGTACATAGTTTCATAACGCTCAGAAAACGCATTGCGCTTATGCAGCCGTGTATGGACCTGCTCCTTCTTCTTTAAATTCCGGATTTCACCGAGAAACGTACCTCCACCATGAGTGATGAGCGAAGAGACGGCTCACGATCGAGTCATGCGCTGAGCTCACGATTGGTTCTGCTGCGCGTTCCACGGGGTCTCATGGAGACTTCTTGCTTCTCCCTCAGATTTGACTGTGATTCTCCAATCCGTTTCGCGATAGGAGTTGACCGAGGCGTGGAAAACAAAATCGATGACAGACTACTTGTCGTATTCGCTCGATCACGGACGGCATCCTGAAGCAGTCGGTGCCGTATTCGATTCCGCATACAAGGCCCTGAGTTTCGGATCGAGCGGATGTTGACAGAGTTCGGAGTGGTGCTTGGACTTGATAAATCGCCTCTGAGTTCCTCGATCGAACCCGAATTTGGACAGGGATCAAGTAATAATTACCTACGGTCGGAGTGGATTTCAAATCAGCAGGGCGCCCGCTTATCATTGCAAGTCTGATTGCTTTCTAGGTGGTCCCCTGGACTTGATGGCCAGGAGAGTTCTTTGTGCTTCGTCGCGCGAACTGGCGGAACAAATCGTCAAGTTGGTCAAGTACATGGAGCTTGAGAGAGATTGAAACTTGAAACGTAAAATCTCCGTCTTGAGGAAAAATCAAAACGACAACGGAATGGTCACGTGGAAGCACCGGAAGGAATGAAAAGGTTCCAGATGACGGAGAAGAAGCAGTAGAACAGTAGTCTAATGAATAAAAAAAGCTGATGAATACTCGTGCGTTTGCTTCTGATTTGACCTCGGTCTTACCTACCCAGAGAAAAAAGAGACAAATCATTCGGGAGAATAGATAATGATCGTGAGTGTGGAAGAACGCCTCCTCAAATCAATTTTTTAAGCGGGGACCACTCAGAACCCCGCAGCTGGTCAAACAGAAATATCAGACACGGCTTTCGAACGGAAAATTCTACCTGATGGCCCCCTGTATGTAGACATCCACGTGTCCAGAGCTCGTTGCGGATAGATTGTACTATCGATCGATTTCCCGATCGCCGGTTACTGACAGGATTTCACTTTCCGATAAGCTCGTCTCCTCTAGAAAGTTTCCTACGTATTGATCACGTTCGATCGGAAGATCGCCTTGCCGGGAAACATAGTTCTCATTTCTCTAATCGTTCGGCCCTTCGAGCGACTTGTCAGCCTTCGTCTTTATCTGGGGGAGAACGTAATCGTTATTAATCTTTCCGATGATACGCGCAGATAGCGCTGCTTTCAGATATCTTCAGTTCTCGAATTCGAGAGTGTGCTTCCGCAGAGATAAAGTTCTCTACACCGGAAAGAGCCTCCGTTTCCGGTCAGACCAACCGCCAAAATTTGGACTCAGGCACATGGATTTGATCGCACTCAGAATCGCTTAGTTACTAACTGATAGACTGACTGATCAACCCACCGTTCCACCGACGGACAGACAGACAGGCAGACACGAGCTAGCGTATATACATATGATCGAATGGATCGACGGACAGAGTAGAGGCAGGCCGGCAGGGCGACTCGATCCACGACGGAGAACGAGCTGATGCCATCAAATCTTATCAGTTCCCGTGAGAAACAAAGATACAAGGACTCCCATTTACATTCCGTTCCCTATCAGATTATATCCAAAACATATCAGATAACGAATTTTTAGATAATCGGAGACTTTACCGAAAGGATGCATATGAATATTCACGTCAAAGCCAGGTAGACCGGAGAGACGCTGACTCCTTCCGTATCTCTCTGTTTCGCTTTCCTCTGAACTCGGAAGTTCTGTAAATCCTCGCGATCGGATCCGGGGGAATCCCGTCGAGATAAACCACGGGGTATTTATTGGAACAGTCTTTCATCGCTACGAAGTGAAAATACGGTTTTGCGAGGCGTTCCGGAAACGCTTTATCAGAAGCATTCGGAGGAACATTCATGCATGCATGATGACATTGTAAGGCATTGGGCAAGACGACAGGAGAATAATATCTGAAAGTTTCTACATTGCGGATTTCGTCGGCGCCGCCTATCAGAGAATGTCCGTACATGGAGCCAACCGTCTGGGAGAAAAACTGCGCTTCATTTTTATTTGAGCTAGACATGTTACACAACTCTTGATAAGGTCAAGCGAACGCGAATTTTCGCTTCTCTGTGGAAGATGGCGATCTGAGACATTGTGCCGATGTGGATAAATATTTCAATGAGTCACATTAAGCCAAGGGCGTTTCAGTGGTTTGGGCTCTACCTTGGACATCGGGTCGCGTCCCGTTTCCCGCGCGCGTCGCGTCGAAACTCGCCATACGCGTACGTCGCAGTTCTCATAAGCCGAAATCATTCAGCTGTGTGATATACCTCCCGATGCCCATAAATCAACGTCTCCTACCGGAACGTTGATATACTTCGGCTCCATGCTGTTCTTGTTTCCAGTATCAGCCGTGCGAGGACGGAATCCGAATCTGAGTCAGCCGTGACAATCGCCGTCACCATGACTAGATGACCTCTTGGAAAGAAACATGCCGATAAGCGAATCTTAATCATAGAGTTTGCTCAAGCGATTTATGATTCAGACTTGAGACGTGTAGCTCTCGGATTCCCAAGTGGCTCTCGCCCAGGCGGATCCTACGCGCGCTCGTACGCAGCTGATCGGGGTCGAGATCCGGGAGCAGTATATGCCGAAACCGAGCCATGCTTAAGGAAAATCCGTTCTCTCGACCCTTGATGGACTCTGCAACACTCACTCGGAGCTGCGCACTCCGCCACTGACTCGAATCTGTCATCTGGACCGAGAACTTCGCAGCACCGCATTGTGAAGAACACTCGCGAGTTCTCCGCAACGGGCAGCTACAAATTGTGCTCTCTGTATCAGTGTTGCGCACATGATCTTCTCTTTGAAGCAATGCTCTACGGCCTGACCGCATCGTTTCGAATCGAAGAGAGTGTTAATACAATCGGCGAATAACGAATGAGTGAGCGACAGAACAAGAAGGCCGGGCGTGGCACTGTCAGCGTCATTTGCTGCCACTGCGAGCGGCTGAGGCCGGCGGACGATATTGGCCATCAGTGGGTGCTCCAGAGTTTCGACACTTCGGCCGAGTCTACGGTGAGCTCCTCCGCGCGGATCATAAGCTTCGACACCTTGGAACTTCTCACGGTGAGAATTGGACACTCTAGAATCGGTATATCCGATGCCGCAGACACAACACAGAACAATGACTCGGCTGTGGAAACATCCGCCGTGACTGCGCTATCCCGATGACACTAGATCTAAACACGGCAGATCTCGGATGGCCAACTTGTTGCGATACTCGGACGGGGATAGTCGCGCGGAACTGCACCTCCATTTAGCAGAGGAACCAGAGGGAAAAGGAGAGCAGAGCTCAGATTTTTTCTTCCGAGGGAGCTCAGATTTCGTCGTCCCGAGGAACTCCGGCTTCCTCATCCCCGCTTCCCTTGGATCAATTGAACCCGGGTTCCGACGAAGATTCTGAAGCGATTCGATGCTCAACGTTCGGAGCTGCGGATTTTCGCGGTAGTCCGCGAGGAGTCTCCGCAGAGAGTTGAGAGGTGAGGTGGGGGCGTCACGGAAAGCCGCGATTTTTTCGGGGAGCTCCCGGCCACCACGCTACGGATTACTCGTTCCGTACCGGGGAGGACCCCGTGATACATGGCGTCCAAGTTCAGATCAAAGGAGGAGACCCCGCTCTCATCGAAGTTTTCCGAAATTCGTCGGGTGGATCACGCAAATCACTTTCCGGAGGGTGGTGTAGATGGCTCGGGAAGTTCCGGCTCCGTCGAGCACCCCCGGATCATGTTTCTGGATGATAGCAATTCACCGGTTTTTTCCGGTTGGGGATCTGAGAACATTTCCACGAACTTCTCCCAACACGTCCCTCGCAAAACCCGCCCATACGCTCCCTCCCATACATCATTAGTCCCCGATGGGATATTGAAACCTTTTCCGCCTTCACCTTCTCCAATTATAGGCTCTCGGAAGAGCTGAAGCGCGCAGGGTTTTCGAGAGAGTTGGGCGGGAATAGACCGATGGGAGGATCTTGTCCGGAATCGATCGAGCACCATCACCTGAGCGATGGGAGGAGGAGGAGGAGGAGGAGGCGGCTTGTGTAGAAGTTCGGCTCTCGGGAATTTCCAGAATGACTTGGACGAGGTCAGCGCGGACGATATTGAATTTTGAGAAGGTAGATTCTTCTTTCCAAAGCCCATAGAGGTAGTGCAAGTGGCTTGATGCTCGCGAATATTTAGGTGAGCGAATTTTACAAATTCAGCGAATCTCGTCCAGCAATGCCCATTGCGAAGACAGATATCCTCGTCAGATCCGCCCGCCGCTGGCCGCCTCCGAACCACATCTAAATATTAGCATATCAGATTGGCTACCACCGTATCACGTTCTTGGCACTCTTAATTATTTCTTTGTGTCCTGAGAGGCTATTTGAACTGGCATTCCATCCCAAGCTGCGCCACTCGTGCTGCATCCGTCGGTTCTCTCGCACGTTGTTCCGCGGTCCTCGAGCCGAGTGAGTGAGTGAGTGATCTGCACCGTGACTCGAACCTCGAGTAAACAATCTGCGCGGCTCGAAACCTGTTCGGTGGTACCCTTGTGCGTTCGGTGCTCGTTTTTCCCAATCGCTTCTGGATGAATCCGATCGTAGTCCGGCGCTTGGCTAACCCAACCTAAAAAGCGTCCCAGAAACGGTTAACGGTTCGGTGTACCGGCTACTTTGAGGCCGCACCCCGGGCGAGCTGAACTACTTGTGTCCGAGAATAAGATTCGGGCGAAAAACTTCGATCGTCTCATTGTTCGTCAGCGAAGGAACGCGACCACTCTCAACCGTAAGTGAATACAAGCTATCGAGAGCGTCTAGGCATGCGCCGATCCTGCGGTGCGATCGGTCGGTGGTGCTCGGTATGACCGTGCCCGGAGTCGAATGGCGAGGTCTTTCCTCCGAGGAACGAGCACGGTGTGACAGGTCCATGGAGCAGTTGACACCATGACCGAGAGCGGTTTTTTAAGCCGTCATAAACATAATATGTTCTCGTGGCTTATCGAAATTTCCCCTCGACCCGCTTACTAGCGGCTCTTTGACCGGTGCGCTCGTTTGTTCCTCCGTTCTGTTGATTCGGTCGACGACGCACGGCGTTGTGTGTGGGGTATGAGTGAGCAGTTTTTACGGTGATAGTTAGTCGGATCGCCGAAAACGAAGCAGAAGACGAAGTTGTTGCCGCCACGGCCGGACCGTTCATCTGTCTGTTCGTCTGCGCGTCCCGCCGCCCGTACGTGCGTCCGTCCGTCCCCCGCCCGCTTGTTCGATCGACCGACGGTCCGTCAGGCAGACAGTTAGACAGGCAGACCGCCAGGTAAGCAAGCGGGCAGGCAGGCAAGCAAACAGCTCCGCACCTCCTTTCGTATACGCTCTCCCACGGGACGGCTGAAGTCTTTCTGCGAGCGTTTCGTCGATCCATCGATCGATCGCGGCTCGTTGCGGCGACCGAAGGAGCCAGCGATCTACCTATTTATCAATCTATTCATCTATCAGTCGCTCAGTCCGTCCGTTTGTCCGCCCGTCTGTCCACCCGCCCGCCCGCCCGCCCGCCTGTCCGTCCGTCCGTCCGTCCGTCCGTCCGTCCGTCCGTCCGTCCGTCCGACGGGTCGATCGGGTTTCCTTCGCCATTCCGCAGACGAATTTAAACACTCGTCGCATCGGCGCGAATAGCATCCACCGAAAACGAGCAAGTAAGATCTAGACACTCATTTGCGGGTGAGAAAAAGAGGGACTTAGCACCGCTACCGAAGGCGGAGGCAGACGCAGCGGCAAGAAGGAGCTAGTTTGGAAGACAGCAAGCAGGCAGGCAAACAGGCAGACACGCAGGCTGACTGGCAGGCAAGCAAGCGAGCGAACAAGCGGAGGTAGGCTGGCCGGTCGCTTGGCTGGCTGGATGGATGGTTAATGAGTGAGTGAAATCCGACTGCCCTCACCCCGCGTTGGTGCTTCGTGCAGTGCACACGGTTTAGCCATTCCACCGTGTTTCGTTCCCGACTTTGTCGTCGTCGTTTGGAATATCAGTTTCTCTTCTCAGTCAGTGTTTCCCTTCTAGGCTACTCCCTCCTTCCCGTCAGTGTGGACACAGCAAACAATACTCTGGAACAACGACATTATTGTGGATCTGCAAGCAGTGCTGATTGGAACCCTTGTTCAAAGTGCTCGTGACCTTCTCCGCGGCTGACTCGGTCGATTGAACGATCGATCGAGTGTCTCCTCCAACAAAAACCCAGAACGGCTGCGAAACGTGTTCGAATCCCTCGTTCGTTCCGATCGAGTCCCGGATACCTGTTGACACCACCAACAACACCACCACCTCCACGACCATCACCACCTGTTGGTCGTTTCCGACAAGCTGGTGAAAAGGATCGGTGAGCGCGCTTCGACGAGTCAGCGGACGCCCTGAGAGGACTCAGCTGAACTCGGCGACAACATAACGAACACCGACGACGACAACGACGTCGGTAACCGCAAAATATCTTCGATCGTAAGCTGCGGTTCGAACTCCTCGCGGGTCGACATGTACCATAGATCGCTGAATGTACCGCGCTCTGCTCGCAACGGGGGCGACTCGGCCACTACGAGCTCGGATGGCCGAAAGGCTCCTAGCCTCGATCACCCAGGCCGGACACACTCTACGCAATCGATCCTGACGGCCATGGACCGTTTCGTGCGCTCCGTGAACAATATGCACGAAACCATCCTGGTGCCCTCGAGACTCCGAGACATGCAGCTCGTGGGTCGCGTGCCACCCCCGCACCCGATCAAATCGAACGATCTTCATTCGTACTACGGAATGCTGAGCGAAGTGAAAGACGAGCTGCTCTGGGGACCCGGGTCCATAGGCTCGGGGCTCGGCATGGCATCGATGACTTCGTCCATGAAGAGCAACGTTCTCCGAGCTCCGTCGGTGCTCTCTCAGAAAAAAACCGACAGCCTCGGCTCAGCTGGCTCCGATCAGGATACGGACAGTGATTCAGTGTCGGAAACCTTATCGGATACGACTGCTGTGTCAGATGAAAGTCGCGATTCCATGGAACACGGCCGACATTTGGCATCCGCGTTCCGGCACCATTTGCAGGGACTGCATGTGATACTTCATCAGCTGGCGGATTCGGCCGACTATCTTTCGACCAGATACCAGCAAGAGATTGAACCTGTGCAACAATGAGTACGGAAAAGGAACGAAAAAAAAACGAGAAACCAGCTTCGATCACCACCGACCTTTATTCGGATATCCTAATTCTTCTTTATTGAAGGAGGCGTTTTCAACACCTTCTCCGTGAGGGCCGAGCGACAACATGTTGACAGAGGCTGATCCGTAGCAGCAGCAGCAGCGGTGCAAAATCCTCCCGCCGAAGCTCATTCTGCCACCGCGACCCTTCTCTCAACGAGGCAACTTTTTCGCAAACTCGCGCATGGTGATCAACAGCAGCAGCAGCCGCATACGACCGAGAGGCAATTTCGAACTCGGCCGAAAATCAATCGGAGCCGTCAGTCGTTCCGATGAGATCCAATGAGACGGAGGAGAAAATCCACACGATCACGATCGAAATGAACATGAAGTGCCAGCGAGTTCCATCGTGGAAGGAGGTCGGTTGCCCGTCCTACATGTGTCGTGCGCGTCCACGCGGTCACTGTACGCTATACTGGTATGAAATTCAGTGCGACTTAACAATCTCTTTTTCTATGAATCGAGAGAAGAACGGATTTGTTCTTCGTTTGTTGATCTAGTGTTGATCTTCGATGTGGAGCTGTTCCCAGCTCACGTCCTGGAAGCTGGAGTTCAGATCAGCTTCCTATCGAGATGTTTGGCTCGCCGCTGGATTCCACAACTGTTGCGCCGACAGTGTCCGTAGTGTTTAGTGCTCAATTGTTGTATAGAACCATTTTACTCACTCTACGTGATACGAGACGATTTCTTCGACTGGGATGACGACGACGAGGTCGAATCTCTTGTACGAGCGCCCTTCCGACGCTCTCGGGAACTCAATCAAACCCGCCCGCCTGCCCTCGGGTCGGTTCTCGAATATTTCCGCTCTCTGATCCCCTATGTTCGATCCGAACTGAGACTCTGCATGGAGTACGCACCTTTCTGGAATGTGTTTTTGTTATGGGGTACATCGTTTGCCATTCTCTGAACAGTGCCGGCAGCTGCAGTGTCTTCGAAAGGAGAAAAAAGGGGCAATCGCAGGAAGAGGAAGACGCGCATAATCGTTCGGCGTTTGGGCGAGTTTTTCTCCCGGAGTTTTTCCCCTCTTCGATTGACCATTGCGAGAAACAAAGCACGGCTGCCCGTTAGTTCGGAAGCCGTTGTTATTGCAGTTGGTAAGCAATATTCTGTGCTCGTTGAAATCGCCCCGCGAGTCGTGGTCACGCCAGCACGGACGCGAGACCGAAAAGTGCGAAAAGACTGTCACGTTTGGGAGCCCGCGATTTGCTGCTATTGCATCACGGTCACTCTCCTCCGTTGGATACAAGTATGGGGAAAAACGCGCAGTACCGTCAAACACGGAGATGTTTTCATGTCCTGGAGGCCCTAGAAAAACTGAATCCTTCAAAAGCGAGAAGTCCGGAAAAATTAGACAGAACCGCATTTACTGGAACGACAGAAACAGCTTGTGAGTGAACCACATCACTGGATTCAGAGTCGCAGTAACGAAACGTTGTTGAATTCTTTATTCTGTGCGTGCGTGAATTTAGATGCTCAAAAATATGTCGACCTGGAAAAATCCTGTACATACGCGAACGCAGACGATACAGAGTCGAGCGGAACTAGATAGACAAACGAGCCAACTAAATAAATGAATTTAGAGAGAAAATGAATTGAAACTTCTGTCTTTTCGGCAGAATGTTCAATATGTAAAAACCACTCGAAAAAAACTTTGTTTTTTTCCACTAAGTAGCGTTGTCGTTCCACCCCGACAGGGTTCCATCACACGGCTCACTGAGACTGATTATCTTTATTCTATTCCCCGATAGACAAGAATCCGTAGACTCTCGACGCGACGTCACTCCGGCCTCCGAATGGGACGATTCCGGAACCAATCCTCGGCTCCGTACATGGACCCTCGCAACTGTTTCTCGTGGATATACCCTCGACCAATGTTCCGTTGCGGCTCTGAAGTGCGTCCTCTCGAGCCGAACCGTCCGGACGGAATTCAGTTGACGTAGGACTTCATCCCGAAACTTCCAGGGCTCTGGGCTATCAACTCTCGTTTCCGACTGGGCGTAATGTTGAACTACGGAAGAGCTGATCGCAAACGTTGCGGGAATGGTGAATGTTGACCCTGTGTGTAAGAAGCCCAGACAGACATTTTTCTCCACAGGTCGTCTACTGGATTTCCGTTCGACATCGCGACGTTATTCGGCGCATTCCGGGGACCCAATACGGATACATTCTGGGGTGGCCAAGTGTTTCTAGGAAGTTGCCTGGGAGAGCCATTTTGTTTTTGGAGCCTCCTCCTGGAGGATTCGACCTAGCGGGCGAAGGAGTACGGGCGCACACCTCTCTGACGTCGTCCGGGGTGTTCCCGCAGCTTGTCAAGCTTCCGGAATCTTCATGGATCCTTCAATCGATCGACCGGCTGGCTGGTCGGCCAAGCCGCCAGCTATCTGTCGGCTCGGTAGAAAATGTCGAAGTCGGCGGCTGTGGTTGTGGTGGTGTTAGAAATGTGATGGTGGCAGAAATGTTGCTGAAGGCAGCCAGAGCAAGCAGAAGGAGGGCTCGCTTGCTCGCGTCGAACCGAAGAATCTAGTAAATGACCCGATTTCTTAGCCGCGTTCGCTTCTCATGCGAATACAACACAACCAGGCAGCAGCTACAGCAGCAGCAGCAGGGAACCAAGTGACTGCTGCTGCTGTTGCTGCTGTCGGGGATGTTGGTGCAGGCCGCCGCAGCCGCCGTGAAAGGCTACGCAACACGGTTGGAACTTCAACGTGGCCAAGGGTTGTAGCTATCCGCCGCTTGTGGCTGTTCAACACACACAATCACGCAGACAGACTACCAAGTCATCACAACTGGCATCGATGAGAACTCATAGCGAGGAACTCATCGAAACATCGAAAGGAGCCTCGGGTTCCCGTTGAATTTCGTGGGATTCCACATCATCTCCACATTCGCTCTGGATCATTGGACGAGCGTGAAGCCATTAGGATCGAATCGCTCACTGCATCTCGACCCCTCGAGGCGGCCTCTGCGACGGCAGCTCCTAATCTCAAATCGATCAGGCTCGATCGAGACCCATGCGGATTAGGAAGATGCACGGCGGTGCTCGTCATCTGGATCAATCGGCTCAGCTGACAGAGGCGGTCGAGCGACCTCGTACGGGTGAGGAGGTAAAAGAAAATTTCTCAAATCTTAGAGAAGTTTTATAACTTGATTCAGTCCAACCAAACGTTGAATCTACCGGAAAAGATAAGACATAATTGTGGGCAAGGAGCGCCGGCTGCAGAAAATTCTGCTGCGTTCGCATTCGCTCCGTTATCGACGTCCAGACCCCGATTTCAGTTTGTGCAGAAAGTGGTTTTGAAAGATTCTTTTTTTTTGTACAAAGACTTTCGCTTCTGCTCGCAGGTAACAAGCCAATACGAACTGAGCCGCTGCGGCCGAGCGCAACGTCCGGGGAAGAAAAGTTGGAAGAGGAATCCGGGGGATTTCAGAATGAATTCAAGAAGAAAATGCGCACATCAAGTCTGAGCTGTCGCCACTTTCGTGATCGCTGCTTCTGCGGCTGCGTCCGTCAATGGTGGTGGTGGTCGTGGTGCGACCGCTGCTGCCGAACGCCTGCATTTTTTTTGATTGAATCATCTGAACCTCGGAGGATGATAAGGCATTTCACGAGGCTCCGAAGGATGTTTGACAGTCTGGAAACGAAGGATGTCACAGGAAGTCGAAGCAATGATTGCCGCGAGAGACAGCCAGAAACGCTCGAAAAGAAATACTAGTCGCGGAAACGATTTTGCAAATGGTGAAATCAAATCGGACATCAGAAGATACTATTCTCGGAGATTTCCCGCTTCCAGGCCGACTACGAGTAGGTTCAGTGATTTTCTGGCTTCCGACAGACAGGTCAAAGTTTTATTGCACATGTGAGCGGATTCGGCGCACATAGTACGTGCGCCGTCCCCAATCTGTCTATCTGGATCAACATCACTGGTGGTCTTCTCGCAATCTGATGAGGATGATCGACTAGATGAGGAGTGATGGATTGACGACTTCCAAGCGAACCGATGAACGAGCGAGCGCCCGCCGGACAGACCGTCGCACGGACTACAAACGAGCGGCGGCGGCGTGACGTGTCAGTTAGTGGATCTTCAATCAGAAAAAAGGCTTTTCCGCTTTCTAAACGCCTTGTTATTGTTTCGTGTTATATTTCGATGCCAGTCGACAGGAGCCACCCGAAGATCTTCTAGGGCGCGCACACATCGCGCCACGCCACACGCATCGGCGAATGTGGCCGTTCAGTAGAGCGGGCAGAAGTGCATCTTCTACTCCATCTGCTTTTACTTCATCGACTTCTTGTTTGAGAACGACCGAACAAGAGAGGCGAAGCAGCCGAATTCCTCCGTCCACGCGTTCGCGGACAATGTGCTTTTGATTGTACGTACCTACATTTGTGTTTGCTCGTACAAACATCATCAGCAACGCCATAATGGCACCAAGGCTTTCACTTTCTGCTCTGCTGCTGTCTCTTCCAGCATCGGCGACACTGTCGACGACGGCGACCCCGACGTCGGCCTCGCTAACCCGACGAATCTACCTGCTCGCCTGTCTGCACGCGCGTTCGCCCGCTTGCACCTCCAGGGGCCTTACGATGACGATATTTTTAGCGGGCCAAGGAACGAGCAGCAGTCCCAATCACTTGCTATACAACAAGTCAGCGTTGGCAAGCAAATGGACGAACGGACGGACGAGTGGATGGGCGGTCGGGCGGTCGCTTGGTCGGTCGGCCAGACGGGCAGGCAGGCGACTGGACAAACGGGCATCTGTTAAGCAGTAACTACGGCGTGGCTTTGCGTAGTGACTCGTGCAACATTTATTCTTTCTCTGCTCAGTCAGCATCCGCGACGAGAATCCGACGACCCCGCAGGCGGGTGTCGGACGTCTTGCTTAGTGGTTCATCAATCGATCCGAAGAAGAGAGTGTCTTTCAAGGTTCCGCGGAGGCGTCCGTTACACTTGCGAAAACCGCAATCGACGGCGATCTTCTGAATTCGGACATCATCACCGCGATCGAACCGGGGAACGCACTCTCATCTTTTCATC